CTGGACCACACACTATGGACAACACAGGAGGTGAGGCAGAGCAGGGTTTCTATAGCCCCCAGAGTGGCAGCCTTCCTTGCTTCCTATTACTGCTGTCCTGAGGCAACTGTGCTGGCGGCAGTGGGGTGGGGGGCTCTTATGTGACACTGGGTCCTCCGGGGTGGGAGTGGGGGGCAGTCTGGGTTTTCAGTTATTAAAATGAACCAGTCACTGTACACACACCAATTAGTGCATTAAATATTATTAAAGTTTTCCGGGCACAGTGGCTCATGCCTATAATCCCAGCACTCTGGGAGGCCGAAGTGGGCAGATCGCTTGAACAAGAGAGCGAGACCAGCCTGGCCAACATGGTGAAACCCCCCCCAACTAAAAAAAAGAAAAATTAGCTGGGCGTAGTAGTGGGCAGCTGTAGCCCCAGCTACTCAGGAGGCTGAGGTGGGAGGATCACCTGAGCTTGGGAGTGGGTTCTGTTATTTTCCCCATTTGCTGAGATGTCTAGAGATGAACTGGCCCGAGGTTGTGTGATAGACAGGTCAGTAGCCGATCCAGGGTTTAATCAAGTGTTCTCAATCACCTGTGGTCAAGTTATGGGCATGGGTTATGACAGTGATTTAATACAGTTCATGTCAAATTATAAATTCCAGGAGACTGAAACTCTGTTTTCCCCTATCCCCAGCACCTAACACACAGCCTGGTATATACAGCTGGTGCTCAGTAAACACCTACTGGATGAATGATGTGACCAGAGGCTGCTCTCCTAGGTAGCCTCCACTCAACTCTGCCAACGTGGAATAGGGATGGGGCAGTTGGATGTGCGCAGGAGAAATACACCACAGGTGCCCATGTCACAGCTGGACAAGCTGGACAGCACTATGGTGTAACAGTGCCTGCTTCTCTGGCAGATCAGGCTGGAGGCAAGGAACTGATATACGTTCTGAATGTCCCAGTCTGTGGAGAGTCTAGGGCAGAGGGGACTCCCTGGGACAGAATTTCTAGTGCTCCCTGATATTCCTGTCATGACCCACAAGCCAGGAATCCCCATGTTTCCCTTTCTTCCCTCTTTTTTATAAGAAAATCAGGTAACACTGTAGTAGGAGTTAAGTTTAAAATCAGAGCATACAGCAAAACTACAAATAATCCAAGTAATTCTTTAAAAAACAAAACAAAAATAGAGACAGGGTCTCGCTGTGTTGCCCAGGCGGGTCTCGAACTCCTGGCTCAAGCAATTCTCCTGCCTTGGCCTCCCAAACTGTTGGGCATGAGACACTGCGCCCAGCCCAAGTAATCCCTAAACATTCCTCGAACCCCCACAACTACGCTTTTGAAAATTCCAATAATTAAATTCTTTGGTTTCTCCGTGCAGTTTAGCTGTGGCCACCCTTTCTCTGGGATAGTGGAAACGGGGTTTGGTTGATGGAGGTCAGGGGAATGGTGACAAGAAAAATAAAAAGAGGTTTCTCCTCTCTCTTCTGTTTAGTTTCTTTTTTGCCAAGTCTCTGGAATTGAAGCTGCCAAAGTTACACGAGCCCATGATGCCACTGTGCCATGAAACTGAAGACTCCAACCTCTACAGAGCCGACAGAGTGGGGCCTGCTCCAGCCAGGCAGAGGTGCTGCCAAAAACGGACCATGTGTGGTACCCTCTGACTGCCTGGAGAGACCTCGTGGGCTCTGTGAGGGGCGGGCTGGAGAAAGAAGCAGGTGGTGGCTCCCTGCTCATCAGACCCACCCAGTGGGAGGCCAAGAAGCTGCTTACCCCCACCACAGGCCTGGATGAAAAAGAGCTTGGGCTTCCCTCCCAGGCTGGGGCAGCTGGTCCCATTGAAGATGTTCACAATCCTCTCGACCGACACAGGGCATCCATCTGTGCCGTAGACGGCCCCTGGGAACTGCAGGTGGCTGGCCTAGAAGACCAAGAACCCTGGTTACAAAACCAAGAAGTTGGAGTAGGAATCCAACAGCCTGTTCAGAAGTTTTGTGGGGGCCAAGGATTTGGAAGGTCAAAGCCAGGGGCATGAGGCTGATTGAGACAGAGCAGGTTGGTTCTGGAAAGACCCTAGTCAGCATCTATTCCAGGGGTCTCATCTCAAACTCATGTGCCTCTAGGGGCCAGACAGTGTGCCTGGAGAGTGCTGGCTGTGGCCTCTAGACCAGTGGTTCTCAAAGTTTGGCCCCTGCAGCAGCAGCATCGATACCGCTTGGGAACGTGTAAGAAATGCAATTCCCGGGCCCTATCCAGACCTCCTAATCAGCAGTCTGGTCCTCCAGGCCCCTCTGACTGAGGCAGCTCAATGCTGAGAGTGGCTGCTTTAAATCAATTCAGCTCAAACCTAAGTGCACAGAAATCACCTGGGAACCTTGTTACTGGGCAGACTCGGAATGAAGAGGTCCAGGGTAGGGCCTGGGAGTCCACATTCCTCATGAGCTCTAGGGACCACATTATGAGAGAAAGGACCAAAGGAAAAGCTCTTCCCAGCCACAGGCTGGAGTTTTACTGGCTGAGGATGCTGGCCTGGTCAGGCCAGACCTTTGCGGTTTGTCAACAGAAACTAGAAATCCTGATTTTTATGTGAAATTTGCCAGTTTTCAAAACACTGTGCAGACCACAGGGAGACTCCAGGCCCCAGCTTGTAACTGTGATCTGTCCAACTCCTCAACTTAAAAGATGAGGAAATTAAGGTCCAGGAAGGGGTAAGGGCTTAATCACAATGACAAACACTTAAGGGGCCAAGCCCCCAGTGGGCCTGGTGTCCTGAGTCCCACCAGCAGCAAGGGGCCTGGGACAATGCCTCACAGGACAGAGACAGGAGCTGAGACAATATGTGTGCTGTACCTGCCTCTGAACAAATTCTGGGGGCAGGAGCTTCGTGAGCAGACCTGGTCTCTGCCCTCCCTCTCCCAGAGAGCTTCTCCCAGGAACACCGACCTGCCCAGAAAGGTGCAGCCAACTCCTCAAACCACATGGCTCCCAAGAAAACAACAGGAGGTGGGCAGGGCCCCACAGCCCCTTTCCACAAAGCCAAGGGTGTTCTGGACACAGGAAGGGACATGGCCCCTGCACGGCCTCTTGGCACGGCCTTTACCCAATGCCTGCCCAAGGAGCAGAGGGATGCTTCCTACCTGACAGCCGTGAGAGAGAATGACCACCACACAGCAGTCCAGAGCACTGTGGTCCCGCCGTGCCAGCTCCAGCAAAGCTAGCACCATTTCCTACAAGAGAGGGCTGCAGGTGAGCCAGAAGCACTGACAGGTCCGGCTGCAGACTGGGCCCTTCCTGACAATAAGAGGGCTCAGCCTGGCCGGGCGCGGTGGCTCACACATGTAATCCCAGCACTTTGGGAGGCCAAGGTGGGCCGATCATTTGAGGTCAGGAGTTTGAGACCAGCCTGGCCAACATGGTGAAACCCCGTCTCTACTAAAAATACAAAAAAAAAAATTCAGCCAGGCGTGGTGGCATGCACCTGTAGTCCCAGCTACTCAGGAGGCTGAGGCAGGAGAATTGCTTGAACCCGGGAGGTGGAGGTTGCAGTGAGCCGAGATCACGCCACTGCACTCCAGCCTGGATGACAAAGTGGGACTCTGTCCCCTGCCACCAAAAAAAACAAAACAACAAAGGGCCCAACCCAAAGGCCTGGGCAGAGCACTTTCTCAGCTTCCCAGGGCCAGTACTGAAGTGCTGACAGTCCCAGCAGTCGTAATAGCCACCGTTTTCCGGGAGAAGGTGCTATGCTTGGGCACTGTTCATCAAACCCCTAAAACAACCCAAGGAGGTAGGTACTATTCCTGCTTTCCAGACAAGGAAACTGAGGCACAGGAGGTCACACAGCAGGTGGCCGAGACAGCCAGTCCTCAAACCCGGACTTCTGCGTCTGAACTTGAACCTGTAGCCGCTGAGCCGTCCTACCTCCCACGGTCCTCCAGATGTAAGGGCTCATCTGGGGAGTCAGCTGGCTTTTGGGGTCCCTCGAAAGATACTTCCCCACCCACTGGCCCCCACCCTGTCTCCCTCCACAGACAGTGAGTGTACCTTGGCAGTCAGGTCGTGCTTCACCTCCACCATGAAATGCAGCAAAGAGAAGCGGCGCTGCAACTTCTCACAGTCAATGCTGGAGCCAGTGCGGGTGCTGAGCTCAGACTCACGGCAGAAGTTCACATTGTTGATAATGAGGCAGTGGCCACAGGGCTCCATGCTCAGGACGTAAGCCTGCCAGCACAGGGACCCTCGTAAACCCAGGCTCTCCCCGCGCTCCCCAGGGGACAGTCTGGAGAGGTGGGAAGAAAACAGGCTCCGCCCTCCCACACAAGGAGTAGCAGGGTCTCCACCCAGCATTCTAGGGCAAAAGAGAAGCAACTGTAGGATACACTAGCACTAGAAGGTGACCCCCCCATCTTGGTATTCAGGGAAGGGAGCTGGTAACCTGGAAATCCAACAGCCACGAGCACTCATCCCAAAGGACCTCACAGGTCACCCAGGCCAGGGGCGTACCTGAGAACTCTGTCAGCAGAACTGTGCCCAGGCCACCTGGGGGCACCTAAGGCTGCTCCCTCCCCAGGTTCGGTCCCCTTGTAATTCTCTCTCAAGGCAGCCTGTTCTTTTGTTGATGGTACTTATCACTGTTTCTATTTATATACTCATTTGCCTAACTTCTCTCTCCCCTAACAGACTGATGGTTCCTTCCCAAGTGGCCCCAGCACAGAGCACAGGAGCCACATAATAAATACTTGTGAATGAGAGAGTGGCAACTTGGTACGGATCCCAATGCCTGCCCCTCATCAGGTCTGCCCCGCTTCTGCCCCCAGCTTTGCAAATGAGGAAAAGCAGGGTTGAATAATCTGTCCCAGCAGGTGCTGGGCCAGAGTCAGGGAGGCTAGGACCAGACTCCCACTGCCCTGCCTAGGGTTGGGTTCCCTGGGCTCCTGCCACACCTGCAGGGAAGCACCTGAGAGGGGGAGAGGGAAGGGCCCAAAGCCGGAGATACTAGCCCCAAATCTCATGGAGACTCACCAAATCTGCATTTCCCCTCAAACTCTCAGGAGCACCTGGGGAGACAGCAAAAGAGGGAAACATAATGTTGGGGTGCAGCAGAGGAGGGGCAAGGGGCTTTGTGAGGACAGCCGCCCAAGAACAGAGCAGCGGCAACTCAGACCCTCAGACGCTGCTGGTGGGAGAGCCAAATGGCAGAGCCGCCTTGGAGATCTGTTTAGAGGTTTCTAACAAAGTTAAACACACACCTACCCTCTGACAGCAAGTCCGCCCTCAGGTATATATCAAAGAACAAGGAGTGCAAATGGGCACAAAAGACTTGGCCAAAATGTTCCCTGAGGCCTTATTCATCATGCCCCAACCTAGAAACAACCAATCCAACAATATGATAGATATACAAATTGTGATACAGCCACACAAGAGAACATTATACAGCCTAAAAAGGAACGAGCTACTGATGATACAGGAGATAGAATTTAGGCAGATAGTGAGAGTAAAACAGTCCTCAGCAGAATTTCCCCTTTAACAAAAAGCAGTCCCCAAATCATTTCCTTTTTTTTTTTTTTTTTTTCCTACTCTTGTTGCCCAGGCTCGAGTGCAAAGGTGCAATCTTGGCTCACTGCAACCTCCCCGTCCCAGGTTCAAGCAATTCTCCTGTCTCAGCCTCCCGAGTAGCTGGAATTACAGGCACCTGCCACCACGCCCGGCTGAATTTTTTTTTTTTTTGTATTTTTAGTAGAGACGGGGTTTCACCATGTTGGCCAGGCTGGCCTCAAACTCCTAACCTCAAATGATCGGTCCACCTTGGCCTGTAAATCAGACATCTCCTCCTCAAGCTCATCTATAAAACCCCTTGCATTCCACTGCAGAAGCAGCAACCCATTTCTCTGGGACCCCTGTCTCTGCGGCAGAGAGCTCTTCTCTTTGTTTCGCCTATTATATTTCCACTCTGAACCTCACTGTATGTCCGTGTCCTGGTTTTCCATGGCTGTGAAGACAATGAATCTTGGGTATTTACCACAGATGAATGACGCCGCTTCACTGATACATGCAAGGCAGGATAGCCTAGAAAATGTGCTGTGTAAGTCCAGGCGCGGTGGCTTACACCTATAATCCCAGCACTTTGGGAGGCCGAGGTGGGTGGATCACCTGAGGTCAGGAGTTCCAGACCAGCCTGGCCAACGTGGTGAAACCTCCTCTCTACTAAAAATGCAAAAAGAAAAAAAAAAATTAGCTAGGTGAGGGGGTGGGCACCTGTAATCCCAGCTACTCAGGAGGCTGAGGCAGGAGAATCACTTGAACCTGGGAGGCGGAGGTTGCAGTGAGTCGAGAACGTGCCACTGCACTCCAGCCTGGGCAACAAGAGCAAAACTCCATCTCAAAAAAAAAAAAAAAAGAAAAGAATGTGCTGCGTTAAAAAAAAAGCCAGACACCAGAGAGTATAGAGATGGTGTCTCATTGAGAAGAAATTACAGAGCAGAAAGAGGTGAGGGAAGCTCAGGAGAGCGGATGCTCGCTGTCTGCAGTGTTCACAGGGGCCCAGTGCACAGCAGGTCCTCCGGAAGTACTTGCAGAATGAATAAATGAATAAAGATGATTATTTTCCATCAATGTCAAAAGAGTTTTCATTTAGCAAGAAGTTGACTGGTCACCAGCTTAAAAGGTCATGAGATGTTTTTTCTTCTTTTTGAGACAGAGTCTCGCTGTCGCCCTGACGCAGTCGTCCAAAACATTTATTAGGGAACTTAGAGTGCTGCAGCAATCCTTGAGGGACGCGGCAAGAAAAAATGGGAGTCTACCTAGGTTTGGTCCACAGTGAAGGAATCGGGGTAAGGAGTTTACATGAGGGTTTAAGGAATTTGGCTCCGGGCCAGGGCCAGTTTCTTTCAGTGTTTTGGGCGATAACCTAGATACCTTTTTTTTTCTTTTTTTTTTTGAGAGGGAGCCTCACTCTGTTGTCCAGGCTGGAGTGCAGGGGCAGCATCTCGGGCTCACTGCAAACTTTGCCTGCTGGGCTCAAGTGACCCTTCACTAAGCATCAAGTAGCTGGGACTACACCACCCAAATAGCTAATTTTTTTTTTTTTCCAGACAAGTCCCACTCTGTTGCCCAGGCGGGTACAGTGGCACATCTTGGCTCACTGCAAACCTCTGTCTCTCGGCTTCAACGAAATTCTCCTGCCTCAGCCTGCTGAGTAGCTAGGATTACACACACACCCATGCTCAGTAATTTTTGCATTTTTAGTAGAGGACAGGGTTTATCATGTTGGCCAGGCTAGTCTTGAACTTCTGGCCTCAAGTGATCCGTCTGTTCTTGGCCTCCCCAAGTGCTGGATTAGG